GTTATTGAGAAAAATAAGCAAAACACAACAGCCCTTTCGGGGTGAGGGAGGGGCGATTAACACTGGAGTTACTACAGTATATTATCTAAAATGTCAAAATTTTTAAAAATTACCAGTTATGCAAAGAAACAGGAAAGTGTGACCATACACATGGAAAAAAAAAATCAGGCAACAGAAATTGCCTATGAGAGGGGCCAAATATTGGATTTAGCAGGCAAAAATCAAATCAACTATTTGAAGAAAAGTATGATCACACTGTCATATAGAATATCAATAAGGAAATGGAAATCATAAAAAAAAAACCCAAACACTTCCACCAGACATTTAAATAATTAATACCATTCCTCACACTCTTCCAAAAAACAGAAGAGAGGGGGACACTTCCATACTCATTTTATGAGGCCAGCTTTACCCTCATATACAAAAACTAGGCAAGGACACTGCAGGAAAATGAAATTACAGGCAAATATTCATGATGAACATAGATGAAAAATCCTCAACAAAAATTAGAAAACTGAATTCAACAATGCATTAAAAGGATCATACACCATGATCCAGTGGGATTTATTCCAGGGGTGCAAGGATGGTTCAACATCCTCAAGTCAATCAATGTGATACACCACATTAATAAAATGGAGGATAGGGACTTCCCTGGCAGTCCAGCGGTTGAGACTTTGCCTTCCAATGCAGGGGGTGTGGGTTCGATCCCTGGTCAAGGAGCTACGATCCCACATGTCTCGTGGCCAAAAACCAAAACATAAAGCAAAAGCAATATTGTAACAAATTGAATAAAGAGTTTAAAAATGGTCCACATCAAAACAAATCTTTAAAAATAAATAAATAAATAAAATGGGATAAAAATCATATGATCATCTCAACAGATGCAGAAAAACCATTTGGCAAAATTCAATATCCAATTCATGATAAAAACTCTCAACAGGGATTTCCATGGTGGCACAGTGGTTAAGAATCCGCCTGCTAATGCAGGGGACACGGGCTCAAGCCCTGGTCCGGAAAGGTCCCACATGCTGCAGAGCAACTAAGCCTGTGTGCCACAACTACTGAGCCTGTGCTCTAGAGCCCGCGCACCACAACTACTGAAGCCCACGCGCCTAAAGCCTGTGCTCCACAACAAAAGAAGCCACTGCAATGAGAAGCCTGCACACCGCAACAAAGAGTAGCCCCCGCTCGCCGCAGCTAGAGAAAGCCCACGTGCAGCAACGAAGACCCAGTGCAGCCAAAAATAAATAAATTAATTTAAAAAAAAACTCAACAAAGTGGGTATAGAGGGACCATTACTCAGTGTAATAAAGAACATATATGACAAGCCCACAGCTAACATCAAATTGAATGGTGAAAAGCTTTCAGGAACAAGAAGATACCCACTCTTGGCACTTTTATTTGACATAGTGCTAGAAGTCCTAGCCAGAGCAACTGGTCAAGAAAAGGAAATAAAAAGCAATCCGTATCAAAAAGGAAGAAGTAAAACTGTCACTATTTGCAAATGACATGATATTATATATAGAAAACCCTAAAGATTCCACCAAAAAAACCTGTTAGAACTAATAAATTCAGTAAAGTTGCAGGATACAAAATCAAGATACAAAAATCTTCTATACACTGACAACAAACTATCAGAAAGAGAAAGTAAGAAAATAATCCCATTTAAAATTGCATCAGGGCTTCCCTGGTGGCACAGTGGTTGAGAATCTGCCTGCCAATGCAGGGGATACGGGTTTAAGCCCTGGTCTGGGAAGATCCCACATGCCGCAGAGCAACTAGGCCCGTGAGCCACAACTACTGAGCCTGCACGTCTGGAGCCTGTGCTCCGCAGCAAGAGAGGCTGCGATAGTGAGAGTCCCGCACACCGCAATGAAGAGTGGCCCCCGCTTGCCGCAACTAGAGAAAGCCCTCGCACAGAAACGAAGACCCAACACAGCCAAAAATAAATTAATTAATTTTAAAAAATAAAATAAAATTGCATCAAAAAGAATAAAATATCTAGGCATAAATTTAACCAAGGAGGTGAAAGACCTGTACACCAAAAACATACTACACAAAGCAATCTACAGATTCAATGCAATCCCAATTAAAATTCCAATGGCATTTTTCACAGAAATAGAACAATCCTTAAAATTGTATGGAACCACAAAAGACCCCAAATAGCCAAAGCAATCATGAGAAAGAAGAACAACACTGGAGGCATCATGCTCTCTGATTTGAAACTATATTACAAATCTATAGTAATCAAAACAGTATGGTTAGCATAAAAACAGACACATAGAACAAGGGAACAGAATAGAGAGCCCAGAAATAAGCCCACACATATATGGTCAATCAACTTACAACAAAGAAGTCAAGAATGTACAATCGGTAAGGGACAGTCTCTTCAATAAATGGTGTTGGGAAAACTGACCAGCTACATGCAAAAGAATGAAACTGGACCAGTATCTTATACCATATACAAAAATTACCATACACAAAAATTAACTCAAAATAGATTAAGGATCTGAATGTAAGACCTGAGACCATAGAATTCCTAGAAGAAAGCATAAGCAGTCAGCTCCTTGACATCAGTCTTGGTGATGATTTTTTTAATCTGACACCAAAAGCAAAGGCAATAAAAGCAAAAATAAACAAGTGGGACTACCTCAAACTAAAGAGCTTCTGCACAGGAAAGGAAACCTTCAACAAAATGAAAAGGCAGGCTGCTGAATGGGAGAAAATATTTGCAAGTCATATATCTGATAAGATGTTAATATCCAAAATGTATAAAGAATTCGTACAACTCAATAGCAAAAAACAAACAAAAGCTCCAAACAATCTGATTAAAAAATGGACAGAAGATCTAAGTAGACATTTTTCCAAAGATGGCCATACAGGTGGCCAACAGGTACATGAAAATGTGCTCAACATCCAACATCACTAATCATCAGGGAAATGCAAATCAAAACTAAAATAAAATATCACCTCACACCTGTTAGAATGGCTATCATCAAAAAGACAAGAAATAACAGGTACTGGGGTAATCCTTATACACTGTTGGTGGGAACGTAAATTGGTGCAGCCACTATGGAAAACAGTATGGAAGTTCCTCTAAAAACTGAAACTAGAACTACCATATGACCCAGCAATTCCACTTTTAGTATTTATCGAAAGAAACTGAAAACACTAACTCAAAAAGATACATGCACCCTCATGTTCATTGCAGCATTATTTATAATAGCCAAGATATGGAAACATCTAAGTTCCCACTGATGGATGAATGGATAAAGAGCATGTGATGTAAATATTATTCAGTCATAAAAAAATAATGAAATCTTGCTATTTGTGACAACACGGATGGAGTCTGAGGGCATTAAGCTAAATGAAGTAAGTCAAACAGAGAAAGACAAATGTTTTATGATCTCACTTATATGTGGAATCTAAACAAAACACACACACACAAACAAGCTCAAAGAAACAGAGGACAGATGGGTGGTTGCCAGAAATGGAAATGGGGGCCGGACAGAACAGGTAATGGGGGTTGAAAGGCATAGACCCAGGTACCAAATAAATAAGTCACAGGAGGCAATGTGCTGTGTGGGGACTGTAGTTGATAATACTGCATTAGAGATTGGAAAATCGCTAAGAGAGTAAAGCTCAAATTCTCATCACAGAAAAATTTTTTTTAGCTGTTTATGTTGACAGATATTAATGAGACTTACTGTGGTGATCATCTCACAGTATATACAAATATCAAACCGTTATGTTGTATACCTGAAACTAATGTCATATGTCACTTATACCTCAATAAAAACAAAAGTATAACTATCCAAACATGACAGAAATTTACTTATCATTCATTTAAGTCCAAAATTGGGGTTGTTAAAGGAAAAAGAAGAAAAACTGAGAAGCTTCGAGGTAATGAAAAGGAAACCAATCAAAAGGGAGACCAGAGGGACTTCCCCAGCGGTCCAATGGTTAGGACTCTGCGCTTCCACTGCCAAGGGCCCAGGTTCGATCCCTGGTTGGGGAACTAAGATCCCACAAACTGTGCGGTGCGGCCAAAAAAAAAGAAAAGGCCTTCCAACTGCAGTTTGTACAACGAACAGCCCTGTCACGACTACTTGACTTCCTGAGGCCCAGCTGTTCCATGTTTCCTTGGTTCTGAGGCACACATAACCTTACCCAAAAAATCTTCCTAACCACATGAGGCCTACCCAAATATCTACAGAAATACAACATAATAGCTTATTCAGTCTCCGCCCAAGAAACCATTACCCTGTGTAAAAACATTGCCTGTCAACAGTTTACTTTGATGTAGAGCAAAGAACAGGACACTGGTTTGATTCTTCACAAATCTTAGCTTGGCCACCAAGCAATATTACCTTCCAACTCCACCATCCTGAGAAATTTCTTACTTTCCCACCATGTCAAACCTTTGGAATTAATACTGCAAATCAACAAACGAATTTTTAGAATTAGACATATAGAACAATGAGATATAATTGAGAAGCCAGTACTTCACCTTTTTGGTCAAATGAATTCTGACAGGGTGCCAAGATAATTCAATGGAGAAAGAATCGTCTTTCAACATATGGTGCTAGGACAACTGGACTGCTACCGGCAAGAGAATGAAAGTAGACTCCTTCCTCACACCATATACAGAAATTAACTTTAAGGATCATAAACCTAATTGTAAGAGTTAAAACCATAAGACTCAAAAGAAAACAAACCTGAAAATACCTTCATGACCTTGGATTAGGCAATAATTTTTAGATATGACACCAAAAGCACAAGTAACAAAAGAAAAACATAAATTGGACTTCATCAAAATTAAGACTTTTTATGCTTTAACAGACACCATCAAGAAAACGTAAGGACAACCCACCAAATGGGAGAAATATTTGCAAATCCTGTATCTGAAGGACCTGTATCCAGACTGTATAAAAAATTCTTATAACTCAATAATTTAAAAAACATGAATAACCCAATTTAAAAATGGGCAGCTCTTTCCCAGCTGGAACCATGGAGGGTGCAGAAGAGAAGAAGAAGAAGGTTCCTGCTGTGCCAGAAACCCTTAAGAAAAAGCAAAAGAATTTTGCAGAGCTTAAGATCAAGTGCCTGAGAAAGAAGTTTGCCCAAAAGATGCTTCGAAAGGCAAGGAGGAAGCTTATCTATGAAGAAGCTAATCACTATTACAAGGAATACAGGCGGATGTACAGAACAGAAATTCAAATGGCTAGGATGGCAAGAAAAGCCGGCAACTTCTATGTACCTGCAGAACCCAAGTTGGCATTTGTCATCAGGATCAGAGGTGTCAACGGTGTGAGCCCAAAGGTTCGAAAAGTGTTGCAGCTTCTTAGCCTCCATCAGATCTTCAGTGGCACCTTTGTGAAGCTCAATGGCATCGTTATGAATTCTCAGAATGTTAATGAACATGCTGAGAATTGTGGAGCCGTACATTGCGGGGGGGCACCCAAACCTGAAGTCAGTAAGTGAACTGACCTACAAGCATGGTTATGGCAAACTCAACAGAAGCGAAGTGCCCTGATAGATGACACCTTGGTGGCTCCATCTCTTGGCAAGTATGGCACCATCTGCAGGAAAGATCTGATTCATGAGATCTATACCATTGGAAAACATTTCAAAGAAGCAGACAACTTGCTGTGGTCCTTTAAATTGTCTTCTCCACGAAGCAGAATGAAGAAAAAGACCGCCCATTTGGTAGAAGGTGGAGATGCTGGCAACAGGGAAGACCAGATCAACAGGCTTATTAGAAGGATGAACTAAGGTATCTGCCATGATTATTTTTGTAATCTGGTCAGTTAATAAACAGTGACTGCTTTCAAATTGGAAAATAAAAATAAAAATAAATTAAAATGGGCAAAGGATCTGAATAGACCTTTCTCCAAAAAATAGCTAATAACCTCATGAAAACGTGCTCAGTGTCATTATCCGTCAGGGAAACGCCAGTCAAACCGCAGTGAGATGGCACTTCACATCCCGTCAAAAAGTAGATAATCACAGGGGCTTCCCTGGTGGCGCAGTGGTTGAGAGTCCGCCTGCCGATGCAGGGGACGCGGGTTCGTGCCCCGGTCCAGGAAGATCCCACATGCCGTGGAGCGGCTGGGCCTGTGAGCCATGGCCGCTGAGCCTGCGCGTCCGGAGCCTGTGCTCCGCAACGGGAGAGGCCACAGCAGTGCGAGGCCCGCGTACCGC